GGGGGAGGAGCATCACATTTAAAAGCCAGAGTAATCAAGTCTGGGATATTTACTACTGCTTCTCTTTATAGTTACTAGTGAGGAACAGGCAGGTCCAGAAACAGATTTACTCCTCTCTCTGATAACTGATGAAGCAGGCGATGAAAGAGGCACCTCCAGACTCTGACTGATCACCTCCTCTCTCTCTTCACTGATTACAGCAGGATCTTAATGTGATAAAGAACGTGTATGTGAAATTGCAGATCTTCAGGGGTTAATGTTTTCCTCAAGTCCGTTCTTTTCTTGAACCATCTTGTAGTTTTCTGTTTAGCATTTACTTACATATTTTGTCTACCTTTTTTTCTAGATAAAGTAAAAGAATACAGAGCAAAGTATCCCACCTTTAACATGTCCTTCACCGAGGGAGACATCAAAGACCTCCTTGAGAAAGCAAGGTTGAATGTATCCAACAATAGTGGGAGGATTCTTCATGAGATAAAACAGCTTGTGCCTCCCCCTCATGAGAAAAAGTTCTGAATGCAAGGTTTTTTTTCCTTCAGTACGAGATAATGATTTATGAATCACTATACTTTACCCCACCACACTTTTCATTTTGGCCATTTGGTGTTTTAGTCTTCATGCTGCGCTCTGGACAACTGTAATGTAGATTTCTCCATCTCAGCTACGTCTCTAATCTCCTCTACAGTCAAAAGAGTGAAAAAGGTGCTCTTAGGGAGTGAGTCATTTGGCCCTTTTTAAACACATTTTTGAGAATGAGATGGCCTGAGTTTCTGAAGGGCTGAAGAGGCTCTCTTTAAAATTAGCTGAGATGTTTGCAAAGGTGTTTGCAAAGCAAAGCATTGGTGTTGGCAAAGAAATTCTAAAAAGAACAAAAAAAAAATCTTAAAATAACAAAAAGGAAGAGTAAGGGATGAAGGAGAGAGAGTGGGGGCCTTCCACAGAAGAACAGCTAACCAGACAGCATGACAGATGATAAAGAATTAGACAGATAAGTACTAACTAAACATATTAAAAGGGAATAAAAAATTACTATAATTTTTGCTTTTGACAATGGAAGAGGAATAATAGAGGAACCATGACAGAGATAAAGAAAAGTCTGATGGTTAGAGACTTACAAAGAATGCTGCTAAACACTGGAGTGTCTCTGCAGAAGGGGAGTATGTCTGTCTATGAACCAAAAGTGAACTAATACTAGGCTCTACCTTGCTCATGATACAGGGTTTTCGACCTTCTTTCTTTTTCTGTATTTCTCACTTGTTCATTTTTCTACATTTTCTGTGTATCATATTTAAACCTAACAGTTTGTAAAATAGATGAGCTATAGCTTGTTCCTAATGGCAACTATATTTGGCTTTGTCCCACAGTATACTAGTGTTGTGGTTTAACCCCAGCCAGCAACAAAGAACCACACAATTTTTCTGCTCACTCCCCCTCCCAGCGGCAGGATAAGGGGAGAATTCTAAGAAAAAGGAAAAACTCATGGGTTAAACACTCTGTTAAACCCTGTGGCCTGACCCAAAGGGAACAGGACTGGAGATTGTAATGGATATAACTTTAAATTGTAATCCATGATTTGAGTTGCATATTATAGGAAGTACTATAGTAGGATCCACCCAAACTAACAGAGAACGAGCCCCACAAGAAGTGCACGTGCAGAAGTGACCCAACCTGAGCTGATTTTGATGCCACACAACATATCGCCTCCCTGAGCAATTGTCATAACAGACAGAACCCAAGTCATGGACTAAATGAACTCAGTGGGCAATTTATGGACATGTTACGGACATCTTACAGGCGTGGCCTATAGACTGATAGTATGATATCTATGCATAAATCAAAAGATGGGAAAGGGGGGAAAGGGGGTGCGATGGTTAATGAGAGTGTATTGGATAACATGGGTCCTAAAGATGACATAAATGCTATGGAATAAGAGGTAGAGGCTGTAGTTAGTCTAGCTGAGATGGAGTTAATTTTTTTTCCTAGTAGCTTTTATGGTGCTGCCTTTTGGATTTGTGACCAACACAGTGTTGATAATAGAATGATGTTTTAGCTATTGCTCAGCTGCGCTTAATACAATCAATACCTATTCTTTTTCTCACACTGTCCTGCCAGAGAGTAGGCTGGGGGTGCACAAGAAGCTGAGAGGGGACACTGACCCCAACTGACCAAAAGGGTATTCCATACCATATGATGTCACTCTCAGCAATGAAAGCTGGGGTAAAGAAGGAGGAAGTGGAGGATGTTTGTAGTGATGACGTTTGGCTTCCCAAGTAACAGTTACGTGTGATGAAGCCCTGCTTTCCTGGAAAGGTCTAAACACCTGCCTGGCGATGGGAAGTAGTGAAAGAATTCTGTATTTTGCTTAACTTGTGTATGCAGCTTTTGCTTTAGCTATTAAACTGTCTTTATCTCAACCCACATGTTTTTGCACTTCTACCCTTCTGATTGTCTTCCCTATCCCACTGAGCAAGAAGTCGGTGAGAAGCCGTGGGGGCGAGGGGGGTGTAGGGGGGTGGGTGTTGGATTAGATAATCACAAGTCCTTTCAAACCTCAATGATTCTGTGTTATTATGTGCTAACAAATTGCTAACTCAGCAATAGTATTATGTGGAAAATGCTATTCCCTTAAACCCAGAATAATGCCTTTTGAATCCCGATACTTGTGTTGAAATTCCAGATGGAATTCAGGGATGTTTGTTGGGGCAGTGGGTGCACTGAAGCTACTACTTCATGGACCTTGACTCTAAGCATGATTGCCATATCTGTGGTGGGGAGTGCGAAAGCACCATGAAAAAAATGTTTTCTTGGCAAAGAGCAGTCATTACACACACAGGCTGGCAGAGTTGTGCAGCTTGCCACAACAAACAGAAACATTTTGCAAATGTTTCTGCATTTGATAACTGACATACTGAACATTGTCTGTGCTATTTCCCAAAGGTTTTTTCCTACACGTACACTGACTTTGTGCACTACTGAATGATTTTGTTGAGCAAAGAACAAAAGGAGCTTGTATCTCTGCCATATACACCAGCAAGGACAGCTCAGGACTCACTTTTTGGGAAGTCCTGCTAAGCAAAGAAAAAAGCCTCCCTTAATTTCTTATTTTACCTATAGCCACGACTCAAGGCAACCACACTGTCAGCATATGAGTGCACACTTTAGGATATCTTCATATGAACTAGTCACAGCAAACAAACATAGAATCATGGAATCATAGAACCATAGAATGGTTTAGGTTGGAAGGGATCTTGAAGATCATCAATTCCAACCCCTCTGCATAAGCACAGACACATCCCACTAGACCAGGTTGCTCAAAGCCCCATCCAGCCTGGCCTTGAACACCTCCAGGGGTGGAGCTTCCACAACTTCTCTGGGCCACTTGTTCCAGTGCCTTACCGCCCTCAAAGTGAAAAATTTCTTCCTAATATCTAACCCAAATCTATCTTCTTCCATTTCAAAGCCATTACCCCTTCTCTGATCACTACATGCTCTTGTAAAAAGTCCTTCCCCAGCTCTCCTGTAGGCCCCCTTTAGGTACTAGAAGGCTGCTATAAGGCCTCCCAGGAGCCTTCTCTTCTCCAGGATGAACAACTCCAACTCTCTCAGCCCGGCCTCATAGGAGAGGTGCTCCACTCCTCTGATCATCTTTGTGACCCTCCTCTGGACCTGCTCCAACAGGTCCATGTCCTTCTTATACTGGGGGCTCCAGAGCTGGATGCAGTACTCCAGAAGGGGTCTCACCAGGGTAGAGTAGAGGGGAGAATCACCTCCCTCTGTCTGCTGGCCACACTTCTCCTGATGCCGCCCAGGATATGGTTGGCTTTCTGGGCTCTGATTGTGCATGGCCAGCTCACGTTGAGCTTCTCATCAATCAGCACCCCCAAGTCCTTCTCCTCAAGGCTGCTCTTGATACATCCTCTGCCGAGCCTTTAGTTGTGCTTGAGGTTGCCCCAACCCAGATGTAGAACCTTGCACTTGGTCTTGTTGAATATCATGAGGTTGGCTTGGGCCCACCTCTCCAGCCTGTCCAGGTCCCTCTGGATGGCATCTCTCCCCTCCAGGGTATCTACCTTGCCACACAGCTTGGTATCATCAGCAAACTTGCTGAGGGTGCACTTGATCCCACTGTCCATGTCACCAATAAAGATGTTGAACAGCGCTGGTCCCAGTACCGACCCCTGAGGAACACCACTCATCACTGGTCTCCACTTGGGCATCGAGCTGCTGACCACAACTCTTTGAGTGCAGCCATTCAGCCAGTTCTTTATCCAGTGAGTGGTCCATCTGTCTCTCCAATTTAGAGACCAGGATATTGTGTGGGACAGTGTCAAATGCTTTGCACAAATCCAGGTAGATGACATCAGTTACTCTTCCCTTGTCCACTACCTCTGTAACGCTCTCCAAATTTTTCAGGTATGACTTGCCCTTGGTGAAGTCATGTTGCCTTCTACCAATCACCTCCTTATTTTTCTTGTGCCTTAGCAGAATTTCCAGGAGGATCTGCTCCAGGATCTTGACAGGCACAGAGGTGAGACTGACTGACTGAGTCTTCCTTTTTTCCCTTTTTGAAAAAAATCAGGGACAAAATAATTTTTTTTTGCCAATGAAGATGAGAAACTGCTGAGTGGACTGACTTACACACTTTCCCTGACCAGAGTGTTTACCTTCTTTATAGCTAAATCAGGTGCAAATGAATGTGGTTTAAAAGGAGTTTCAAAGTATGGGTGTCTAATCTACCATAATCACATACCCATTCAGCAAGTTCTACATTTCCTCTGGGGATTTAAATCACTGTTCCCATCTTTTTAAACATGTGGTGTTTGTCCTCTTTGTGTGGACATCTTGCAAGATGTGCCAGTCTCAGACTCTTACGTGCTTTGCCTTTTGTGTAGGACCTATTTCATTTACTCAACTAAAAGATAGTTGTCATAAACTAGCATTTATGTTTGCCCACAGAAGTTTTTATCAAGTTTGTTCTTAAGCTTTTTCATCTAAACTATGTGAGCTTAGTTTTTCCATACAATTTACAGTGGCAGAGTACAAGTTATCAGAGTACAAGTGACTGTTATCAAACTATAAAACACTGGCCTATGTTTTCTCACTTGAGAGACATTGAGAATCAAAAAAGCAGAGAACCATAGAACAATTTAGGTGGGAAGATTTCATCTGAAGAACATCTATCTCTGCTTTAAGACAGGACACCTTGTGAAAGGACATAGAATCATAGGATGGTTTAAGTTGGAAGGGACCATAAAGATTATCCAGCTCCAACCCATCTCCTTGTTTGTTAGCACTGGGTCTTTTGCTTATCTTAAGCCTGTCTCCAACTGCCCATCAGCTCTGGATCTCACAGCTTCTCTTTTCTATTCTGTGTTGCCACCAGTGATAAATCCAGTCATCTACACCATGAGGAACAATGACATAAAAGCTGCCATGTGAAAATTAACTGACCATGGAGTATTACACAGAAATAAATCATCAGTCTTTCTTCATTAGACTTCCTCTGTGTTCTTGGT